CCCCCCCCCCCTGCATTTCTTCAGGCTTCCCTGAAAATTAGGTGGTACCCATTCATACTCCTGGGTGGAGAGAGGCTAAAAGTGTCTTGCCCAAGAACACAACACATTGACCTGCCTGATCTTGAACACAGACCTCTGGCCACTGCGTCTCCCAATAAAGGGACTACATTAAGGACAAAAGATGTAAACACAATGCTAGTGAAAGGCAGTTTGAGTTAAAAGTATCAAGAGCAGAGCTTTGGTTTCCCTTTTTCAAAATATAAGAAAAAATAAGAACAACTTTTTGCTGAAATTTTGTATTTAATTTGTAATAGTTGAGACTCACTCAACAGTTGTAACTCAAGACATTCATAGGTATTTTATTGAATGATATATGATGCCATTGAAATTACCTCTTGTACAATGCAGAAAAAAATTTGTGATACTATAACTCTTCAGAGAAAAAAAAACCTGGAGTGGGAGTAAATTCAGGTAAATCAACAATTCACCAACATTAAATTTTGCTATACCATTAGAGCTAGCTCTCAAAGTGAACCTTCTCTTAGCGTGGACAAGCACTCTGTGAATCTGTGATAAATCAAACACACCTTGTTTGCTTGGAAACATTGTAAGCATTCTGTCAACAAGATCTTCACATTGCTTCTCCCAGTTGTATTTTTCCTCATACTCTTTGCGAAGCTTCTTCGCTTCTGACATCAGATCTTCTGGCCTTTTTTCTAGGACTTCTTTTATCCTCTCTGCCCAAACTTCAGGTTTATTTGATTTAATGACATGTTTTTCTCCAGAGGGCAATTTCTTCAGAGCCATTCCAAAACCACAATTCTGGCTGACAAGTACTGGGAGGTCAGCAGAAATAGCACGGAGGTTGGTTGTGCCGAAGCCCTCTGTTCGTGCTGGCATAATGATAAGATTGACTTGACACAGCTGACTCTTCCAATTTTCCAAGTTAGAACTTTGCAAACGTCGCACAGTAAGCTGGTTCAGCTCAATCCCTTCCTGAAGGAGTTGGTTCTTGAGGTCTTCGGTATCTTCATCTTTGTTGACAATATAGATCAGATGGCATGATACCTCTTTCAAGAACGTCATGGCCTTGGCTGCAATATCCAGCCCCTTTACTTTGTAATACTTTGCAAACCATGTTGCACTGATCAAGATGCGGAAGATTTCTCCACATTGTTGGAATGCTCGCACACCTACCAATTCCTTCATGATCCCTGGAGTTAAATCAATGACATCATTGCTCTTTCCACAATGACACAGTTCAGATCTGAAGGTGTCTGCTACTTTGGGACCAATTGCAATTACACAGTCTGCTTTCCGACTCAGTTTAAGCTGTAGCTGGTGCTCTGACTCCTGCTCACATTTGTTATCCATATATTTAGCAAGTTCTTCGCCAATGGTATGGATGATGTGAAACCATTTACATTTCTTAGCTGTTCTTATGTTCTGTGCATGTTTTCCCTCATGAAGCCCATATGAGTGCATGAACAAAACATCAATTTCAAGATCATCTGGTGGGAAAGACAGGAGTTCCATTGAAGAAAAACCATCCAGTTCTTGGCCATCAACAAGTTCAACATTTAACTTCTTGGCCTGTTCTTTCTGTTCCTGGGTGCTTCTTGGCACAAGTCCAGTCACTTTCACTTTTGAATTTTTTGCAAGTTCAATAAGTAACTGGTTGTTCACCAATGTGTTCCATCCAACTGCACCAGTGGCCAAGGTTATGTTTAATCTACATTTCTCCATATTTTACTGCTGAGAAGCCAACTGTGGAAAAAGGAGGAAAGAAACTAAATTTTATTTGAAAATTCAAACTCAACTGTGTCATCTAGAGTCAGGTATAACTAAGAGTATTTGCTCTTACTAAAGAATGACATGACTGATGGGTGACTGAAATAAATTTCAAAAGCAAGCAAGGAAGAAGAAGGTTTATGACAAGGTGTGTTAACTACTTGGTTCTGCAAAAGTTCTTTATTCATACACACACAAATGAAAGTAATAATCCTATATTGAACTAAACTCACGAGTTTATATATTTGGTAGCATTTCTGCATATATTACAGTTGGGACAATATACACTCATTGACAAGTATTTATATTGTGACAAAATGTGACAAGACAGAAATGGATTGATGATAGCTCAAATGAATTGCTGATTATGCAACAAGGTGGTCTTCTTGTTTAACTTGTTACAAGTGACAACACTGTTGCTATATTTTCATAGAGTAGGTATTAGTTTTGCATATAATAAGTCTACTAAACAAGTAAATCAGATACTTATTGACATATATTCTATAATTCAAATACTATTGTGCATGGTTGTTTTAAAGGACTATGCATTTGTTAAATTTTTTTTTAACTTATTTTAAATATCAGCTTACTAACTGCAATGTTAAAATGTTCTTACTTAATAAATTTATCAGTCTGTCATAATAACATAATGTGAACTGCCAAGAATACAAATAATACTTAACGGATGCTGTATTTCACAAGAATTCCTTAATTTTGTCTCATGTTTTACTTCAACACCAATAAAACAGTCACAGGTCATCTCAGGCAAGGGGGGAGCACATCCTCTACACCCCTTCCCTAGATCCACCCCTGTTGCTACTTTGCCCTTCCTGCCCTCCTTCACTAATGGGATGCTTGTCCACTGCAAGGAAACCTCCCAAGATCAGTTTTGTCAGGTTCCTATTACAGTTTTATGGCACCCACAGACACGCTTAGCAGATAGAGATACTGAAGAGGAAAGTGTCTTTCCCAAAAACAGATTTTGAAGCTTGACCCCTTCGCCCTGATTAAAGAATATTATAAAGAATATTATCATGATCAAGCAACTGTATCCCTGATTGGCTTTGATCGGTTGAAAGTGCTACATTTAATACATGACAAGAGGCAGAATGAAAACAAAAATCTATATTTAATTTTCAGGATTTGAAATCAACTCGGCAGCTGCGATTACTAGATGACGCGTCCAGATGCAGATCGAATGTCATCACTAATTACTCCAGGCATGGCATCAGTAAACTCATGGTTTTGTCAACGTTTCCTCGCAAAGCTATATTTAAACCATGAGAAACTAAGAATTTAAAAAAATTCGCTGGATGTACGTACAACTTTGAAAGAGAAAATATGCTTAAATCTCATGCGTTACAGATTCGTTTGGAGAATTCATACAAGACAATCATAACACATTTTCTGGCGTGAAAGCGATCGAGTAATCACTATGCGCATTGTCTAAATATTGATCGAAAACAAAACTGCATAGGAGTTAAGAACCTAACAGCTGGAATCACCTCATACGCGAGCAAAAGATGAATAGGACTAAAACCGATTCTTTCATTTTCGTTTCTTAATGGGGAATCCATTGCGTTTTCCTCTTTCGGTTTTGAACTTTTGCAGATTAGCTACATTAGAAACCTACCGGTAATCAAATCGGGGAGAATTTAAATTTGTAGAACTTACTTGCTATGTAACATTCATTTATGGTCATTGATTCGCTGTAGCTGGGATGGTTTCCTTCGCTTCTAATTCTTGTCTCGACATCTGGAGTCGCTTCGGCATCGCACCAAACACCCCCCACTTTCGCGGAAATTAAGGAAGTGAAACAAGCCGTCTCCAGTACTCCCTCGGTCAGACCATTTGACAGTACCAGTAACGGAGTATAGTCGAAAACCCTCGCGAAAACTCTCGATTCTCATCTTTTTGATCTTGAGTACCACATGATTCAAAATGTCAGGTGTTACAGGTGAGACTAATCTTTTCGTTCTTGAAGAGCACATTTTAATCATCTGAGTTCATGTACTACAGTGTTCAGCGAGATTCGAGGTGCAATCAGACACAGTTCTCTCTATGTTCTCGTGCGTGCTAAAATCAGCCTTAGTCAAATTTTTCCAAAATGGGTCAACTTTTAACCATATGTGCCCTTAATAATTGAGATAAGTTACTGCTACCATCCGCTTTTATCCTCAATAAATTAAAATTTTCACTGCTATGTGTGAGGAAATCACAAGCACATACACTAAGCGCGCTAAGCTGAAAGTGCGCACTAATATGATTCGTCAGCAGTTTTGCTTTGAAGACGGAAGTGGAGGAAATGTTGAAGGTTCGTCGTACGAAATGCACATTGATGACAAATTTTATACTTGAACTCGCTGTAAATAGATGCTACAGGCGAGTAGGAAACATTTGATAAATTTTCATTTCAAATTTTGAGATCATCATGACATGTGGATCAAGACGTCTTTCGACTTGACTGCTGGGCGAAAAAAAGGGAATTCTCTTTATATGTAGACGATTTTCGTGAACTTTTACCAGAGAACTGAGATTTTCTATTTTATGTGTCAATGGCGGCAGGAAAATATTATTTTATGGTAAAACTAAACGGACAGACCTCTCCCAAAGTGTAAATGTGTACTGTCCTATTTAGCTAGAATAGGGGAAGGACGGGATGAAGACTTGAAGGGGGGAAGTAGTTCATATCAGGAATCCTATTCAAGAAAGTAATATCACATCTATACCATGAATTGTGGGATTATTTTAAATGAATGATTATAATCAATTCACTACACTTAAAATTAAGGTTACAGATTAACATCTACCTTTCCTCTAGAAAAAGAGGTATTAAGTCTTACAAGAGCTACTGAACTCTCATTAGATAAATTATGGATTATGAATGCCACCTTATAATTATCTTTCTAAACCCTACCTTTTTCAATTTTGGACAAAATAAGTCACCCAAAATGTCTGCTCAAGAGTAAAGAATGCAGAATTAATCTCTTTATTACAGTTATAGTCATAATATGGTCACCAATATTTTAACCTAACCAAACATATTATTATAGTTATTAAATAATTTAAAGTAACTGTTTAAAATTTTACTTTCAGGAGATGCACAGAAACTGAATGTCACCTTGGTTGCTAGTAATGTGGGCTGGGACAAAGCTGTGAATGGCCAGTTACTTCTTGAGCTTGCCAGCAACCCAAAAGTGAAGATTACTGGATTTGTACCTCAAAACACTCAGCAGCAGAGAGATGCAGCTCAGAAGTTAGGCATTGAGCTTGTTGATGCAAAAGATATCTCAGGGCATTCATCAGCAGACTTGCTGGCTTATCCACCTGATGGTCTCAATATTGATGTCTTGATGATGCAGTCTTATGGACATGAAGTGGGTCGACAAGCACAGATTATTAAGGAGACCAAGAATTGCAAGTGGCTTCATGTTCTGCACACTGTGAGTGAGGAACTTGTGCCATTTGCACCTGAGCATACATCTGAGCATGAGTTGCAACTTGCATTGTGCAAACAAGCTGATATCGTGGTTGCAATTGGACCCAAAGTGGCAGAAGCTTACAGATCAGCTTTCCAACTTGGTGGAATACAGAAAGAGGTCATTGACCTGACACCAGGAATTTTCCTCAACCTTGTTGGTGTACGACCCCCTCAAGATGACAGTGAAGTGTTCCGTGTGTTGATCAGTGGTTCATCCAAATATTTCAAGATCAAAGGCTGTGACATTGCTGCTAAAGCAATCAAACTAACTGGTACACCATCCATCCACCTTGTGTTTGTTGTGAAGCCTAGTGAGAATGTAACAGAGATGACCCAAGCTTTGCTCCAGGAGGGCATTAATCCTGACCAACTCACTGTCAAAGTTGCAAAAAGCAGTGAGGATTGGAACAATCTTCTCCGTGAAGCAGACCTTGTCATAAAACCATCCAGAACAGAAGGTTTTGGAATAAGTGGTGTCCGAGCCATTTCTGCTGACCTTCCTGTCCTAGTCAGCGGAAATATTGGCCTTGGTGTAGCTCTGAAGAAGTTACCCTCAGGAGCAAACCATGTTGTGGAGTCCAATGATCCCCAGGTCTGGGCTGACAAGATCAAAGAAGTTAAAGCAAAGGATGCAAAAGGGCGCAATGCAGAGGCAGAGTCTTTAAGAAAAGAGTACACTGGGCAATTCAACTGGAAAGATCAGTGTGAAAACCTTGTTGAAAAAATGTTCACCATGATTTAGTCACATCCTCCTCAGACTCAAAGTTTACCACTACATATTAGAAAAAGGGAGTAGAGTTTGCTGGAAGTTAGGTAGTTTGAGACTCAGTATTTTGCCCGATTTGATTATAGATACCATACAATTTAAATCTTTGTGTTGACTGACAATGTAGCTCATAGGTCTAACATTCTGAAATTATGTTGTGAACTAAAGCCATGATAGGGCTTTTTCAAAATATTATTACCATTTTTACTGTTCATTATTGAAGACAAAACTTAATAGCTGCATGTTGGTCTAGCTCAAAACAACTTGCATAGCATAATGCATTTGATCACTACATATCAGTACATTGCCAAGCTTAAAGCAAAGAAAAAAGGTTTCTCTGGAAGTTTTTGTTAATGTTCATAGTTACTTTTCTGACCAAGCGAGCTTGCTCAGCAAGTTATCAAGTATTGGCTTAGCTTAGGATATGAACTCACTCCAAATGACAAGAGAGTTGATCAGTTCAAGGTGTCATCAATAAATAAATGTAACTTCAAACAACACTTTAGCCTGTTTTTGGTTGGGGTTAATAACAGTGGTTGGCATCTACATCCCACTTTGCAAGACCTGGCTCTCTTCTTCTTAAAGTTCACTATAATTTCAAAGAACCTGTACTGAGATTTTCATTTTACTTTTCTCGTGAGCTTTTGATTTACAGGGAAGTAACAACAGCCAAAATTTTTAAATTCAGCCTTTCTTGGTTTTCCTAAATGTGTTTTGATACAAAATTTACAAAGAAAACAAGACACATCCATTTGCAGCTAGTTTGAGAAGGGTCATCATGCTAAAACAGTGTCAATAGGCATAGTGCTTTTGCATCTTTTGTCATTGTAAAACTTTGACCTCTTATCAAGTAATAAGAATGCAAAGCAACCATTATTTCATAGGGACCCTATTTCTTAACCTTTGTTATAAGAGTAACAGGAATCTTATTTCTTATCACAGTTTCACACTTGAATCAAATGTAAAGGTCATGAAATTTATGAAAATGATAACCAATTTAAGAAGCTTCTGACTGGCATATATTCTCCCTATCATCACCACAGGAAAAGTAGAGAGATCAGTGAACACTAATGTTAGCTAGGTTGTAAAAAATTGATGGTGATACTGGCAAATTTAGAAAATGGTAAACTGATGTGGATGTCACTTCATCCAGGAGAGTCCAGATTTAAATTTCCTTTTGAGACACTAAAATAGCCTAATATACAAATATAGAATTGATCCTTGCAATTAAGAACACCACTGAACTAGTAGTTGAAATAAGGCTTGAAAAAAAATTCAGGCCTGTACAGGATTTGAACCCATGACCTAATATGCAATTTATTGTTGTTGATGGTCATATGTAATATAATTATTTCAACATGCAGCAGGAAACTGGTCAACTCATCAAGCTAAGGCAGCATGCAAGGAAGCAAAAAAATGAAAAAAAAATACATGAAGACTCAATCACTCGTTCTACTAAACCAATTCTCCCATTAAGTAATTTTAATGTTTACACTCATCAGGTTTGACACTTGCTCCACATCATTGTTATTAACCATACCACCTAAAAAAAAGTTAACTTATAAAATAACCTTAACAATTGGTGTAAAACTAAATAAAAGAAGTATAAATATGTTAAGTGTAACATTAACACACTCTAGACTATGTATTCAAATACATTCTTTTTTAAAGAATTAGTGAACATACAAGCCATTTAACTATAAAAATGATAGATATCTATGACAAGACTACTTTCATATACTAATTGAAACTTAAATGTTGTCTAGAAGTTATTTGTTTGCATTGTTTCATTTTTTTGTCACATCTGTTGTATGCAAAGTGACAAAAGGAAAATTCTGCTTACAAGACTGACTCATACAGCTACCAGAACTTAGCTACTAAGCTTGTTTCTGCAGCAAGGACCTGTGAGAGTTAATATACTACCCAAGAACACAGCATAGTGACCTTAAACGGTGCAAATCCTAGCATCCTTCCATTTCTCTCCCACATACGAGACAAAGGTACTCAGTTGTTGACAAAAGAGGTCACCTTGACCAACTACTTGTCTATAAAAGAATCAGCCAAAGATGATTATGTTGATTAGTTTCAACACTGGCTTCAACCCCTTTCTAAATACTATTTTTTTTAACATACCAAAAGGAAAAATTAGGTTAATGTTACCAGCTAATGTCAATTAGGCTAAATTCTCTGTTTTAATACTACATGAAATTAAATCTTGAAAGGGCATGCACTTTTAAAAGAGCTAGATACAAGCTACCAATCTTACACATCAAGATCAAGACCTGAGAAAAGATCATCACAAATAAAGTTGACTTAAAGTTCATAAACTATCATTTGACCAAAGTTAAAACAGAGGTTCTATGGAAACAAAAAAAACTAGAACATTCTTCTCCAAGTCTACAAATTTCTTGCCATACTGTACAAAACTTTTACTGATAAAAACTAGATCTGCTTGTTCTTCCACATCAAGAACATTCAAATCTGACTTGGGGAGGAGCCGTACTCTAAATGTTTAATGACAAGTATCATTTACCCAGTCTTCAAGCACCTTTGCCACATCCATTCTCTCCAGGTCCTCACCTGTCAACAGGTCAATTAAGTTTCCAACAGTAGCCTCTCTCTTTGATGACCAGGTCTGCAGAACCTTGTCAGTAGGATTTTCACCCTGTTCAATCATCCGTATCTCATCCCTGTTGAATCCAACTTTCTCAGCAAGCATCCTGAAGTCATCAAATTTCAGATCTCGCTTGGTGTTGAGCATTATGCAAACTTTTCTGTATTCTTTAAGGGGTAGATTACTGACTCCCATGTTTCTACGTGATATGTCTCCACGTTTGTATGTCCTAGGGAACTGGCTTGTCTCCTGAATACTCATCTTCTCAGTCTCATACTGATAATACGGACCTCCATCCACATCATCGCGATTCACTTGCAGTGACTGCAGATCTCTTGTGGTATCAGCAACATCAAACTGCCACTCAACAGCTTTCTTTCTGTATTCTAAGAAATATAAAAAAGGTGATAAATTTGCCTATTTATATTTATGCTATATTAACAAAAAGATTTGAATTTAAGAACTTCTGTTCAGAATCAGTCAGCAATTTACAATGAAGGAGTCTAATGAGTAAACAAGAGTCAGCTTTCTAAGGTTGCAATTATTCACTGAAAAGTCATTAGTTTCCTTTCTCCCTGCAACTTTACTCTGCTTTGAAAATCAAAGATGACTATTATCTATTGTCAAAAAAAAAAAAAATCAAGAGCTAACTCATCCAACATGTGCCTGAACAGAAGGCCAAACTTCAGCTTACATGCATTTCAAAAATATTTTTCTTGGTAATTCAAATTTTTCTTGAATTCCCTACAAGAAAACCAAATGCAAATGCACCTCAGTGTGCCCTAAGGACATCTAAGGACATTTGCTGTTACCATCACCAGCAACTCTTAGTTCACAATTGTGACACTGCCTTCAGACTAACTAATGACACTTGTCTTAGGATGTATTAACCCTAAGCCCCTGAGAGTGATAAGAATCTTATTTCTCCCAACAGTGTCACCCCTGAGTCAAATATGAAGGTGACAAGAATAAAGAAAATAATTACAAGGTCAAGAAGCTCTTGATTATTAAGCAAATTCTCCTTGTTTTAATGTAAATACTGTCAGTAAGAAACATATAAACAACATAATGGAGAACTTAAACACTGATATTATTATTATATTATTATTATTATTATTATTATTATATTAGGCTGTAGAGGGTGAACAACAGGACAAACACAAATTAAACTTAAACTGTTCCTAATTAAATCAAAATTACAATAAACAAACTCACCAGATTTGTGTGGATTCATTGAAAACATTTTCTTGACAATTTCATTGCATTGCATCTTCCAGTTGAATTGCTGCATGTAATCATTCCTTAGTTGTTCTGATTCTGCTTTTCGAACTTGCACTGCCTTTGCCCTGACTTTCTTTATCGCATCAGCCCAGTCCTGAGGGTCTTCGGAATCAATTACATGCTGTGCACCAGAGGGTAATGACTTCAACACCATGCCAAGACCACAGTTTCCGCTCACAAGAACAGGGACGTCTGCTGAAATGGCACGCAGACCACTTATGCCAAAACCCTCTGTTCTTGATGGTTTGATGACCAGATCCACTTCACAAAGCAACCTTGGCCAGAAGTCTTTGCTCCCAGAACTTCTAAAGGTGAGTTGATGCTGATTGATTCCTAAATCAAGAAAGGCTTTCTTCAGCTGATCTTCATTATCCTTTGGCTGTCTGACAAATATAAGATGGTAGGATGAATCTTTTAACAGATTGATAGCTTTAGTGGCAATATCACATCCTTTGACCAAGAAATACTTGGATGAGGCACTGAGCAGCACACGGAAAATTTCACCTGAGCCTTTAATTTCCCCGCGCACACCAAGGAATTCTTCAATAATTCCAGGAGTCAAACAAATCACACTTTGGTCTTTACCACTGTACTTCAGAGCAGCTCTGTAAGCTTCTGTAACTTTTGGGCCAATTGCAATGATAAGGTCAGATTTCTCGCACAATCTTGTCTGGAGGTCGTGTTCAGTTAATTGATCATTTGCAGCTGAGTCTGCAGATTTCTTAACAGAAAATTTCTCTAGATCTTCACTGACAGTATGGACAACATTAACCCACTGGCACTTTTTCTTGTCTTTTATGATCTGTGCTTGTCGCCCCAGGTCACGCCCATAGGAGTGTATGATGAGAATATCAATGTCAAGATCGTCAGGTGGATAAGCTAGAAGCTCAACTGCTGGAAAACCTGTGATTTCTTTGGCATCAACCAGCTCAATGTTTAAGTCCCTGGCATGGTCTTTCTGCTTTGGGGTGTGCTTAGGTACAAACCCAGTGACTCTTACTTGAGGATTCTGAGCAAGTTCAAGAAGAAATTGTTCATTGACAGACTTGTCCCAACCCTCTGCATCTGTTGCAAGGGTAACGTTCAATTTATTTGGATCTTGTACCAGCGATCCTGGAAATGCAATTGAAAAGGCGAGTGAGTAAATTACACATGGCTCTGTCATACTTGTGACGGCAGTTACAGTTTTAGTAAAGCGTATAAGATGTAAATAGAACGATTTTATTCAACTTTATGGACCGCACGTTGATAATTGCCACACTCCTTAATCAGGTTTCACTATTTTCGGAGATCCTTGGGTATCAATCCGACACAACAAAACGACTTTTCTCAAGGAAGAATTCAAAACAAACCTGAAATCAGTGTTAGTGTAAGTGAGTAGACTCTCAAATAAGTCTAATTCGGTTCGCTTTACTTCCGCAATAGCGGTGAAACGAAGATTCAATCGAATAATCGATCGGAGCTTATCAAAGAACATGATTAACACTGCTAATTAGGCAGTACTGCAAATTTCCATTTTGTTACTTTCGCCACAGGAAAGCTATCCAAAACAGATGGGTGTCAAAATTCTTAAGATTTCACACACTCTCAGATACGCTGAGGTAGGCATTTTCCATGTGAATTCACTGGAGAAGCCGCGCTGATGCAAGAATCTGCACAAATTTCTCCCAATAATCACCAAAAACTCACCAGTTAAGCTGGGTTTTGATATATTTTCTTTAAATTGACCTTTTGTGTCTTCATTCCTTACACTTTTGCTTTCAGATCCGTCTTCTGGGAAACGGGTCGCCATTTTCAATTCTGAGGTAAAAGCTCTCTTTGAGGTGGGTGGGGTGGGAGGGGAAGCG